ACATTTGGCGCGGTAAAACTACAAATGAAAGGGAGATTTACGTCAAATAGACCACAATCAAACGATACAAATGCTAAAAAAACAAATATAGACAACAACATACGGTTTCAATAATATACAATTATCTGTACACTTAAAAACGACACCTATAAAGCTAAATGGATGAGGGTAAATCTACAGACCTACGCAAACACCACAACAAGCATGATTGATATACCGTGGCGAAATTTCCCTTACTGATGTGTAGCTATGGAATACAGTTGTCTAAACAGCAGACGATGCACATATTACATTTCCGATACATTTAGTAGCATTTATGTTAGAATCCCTGTAATTCTTAGCATTTCATTCCTCCTGCATGCAAATTTGTGGATTGGAAATCTACTAGATTATCATATAATTAAAGATAATTAGTAATGACGGTATAAGAACTACACAAGGTGGTATTAAATTGCAAAAGTACAAAATTGACAAATTAAATGTATATTGATATAGATTTGAAAAACTTTCGACTGAATTCAGTCTGCTCAAAGATGGCAACATGCATATAAATGCACGCACGAGCTTCACAACATTAATATAACATGATGGTACTCGATTGTTATGAAGATATTTTAATCTTTTTAAAACACTTTTGACATGCATTTCGTAGCACCGATCGGAATTGTGGTGAATTTTTGTTCAAAGAAAATAGAAATCTGTTAAACTAAACGTTGCACAACATATTTTGTCAATATATCTAACAGACTTGCAATAATAGAGATATACACCAGGTACTGGTACGAAAATTAAAACGATGTTACTGATGCATGGGACAGTATAAATCAATTATTTAGAATTTAAACTGCATTTTGGTTAAGAACTTTGATTTTAGAAGGTCGATATGGACATTTGTAAATTACGCTTATCTGCCCATAAGCTACAAATCGAGGTTGATTGTTTTTCAAATATAAGAAATTAGGAAAATTTATATAAAAAGGTCCTCTGACTGTGTCGAAGTGAGATACATTCTCTGAAATCATGTGAAAAATATGAATCTGATAAAGTAAAATATCAAAAATACCGAACTCCGAGGACAATTCAAAACGGAAAGTCCTTTATCAAATTGCAAAATCAAAAACTCAAACACATCAAACGAATGGAAAACAACTGTCATATTTCTAACTTGTTACAGGCATTTCCCTTGGTAGAAAATGGTAGATTAAGCCTGGTTTTATAGATATCTGAACCTCTCACTTTGTATGACAGTCGTATAGAATTCCATTATATTGACAACAATGTGTGAGCAAAACAAACCGAAATTAGGGGCTGATCATTTGTAACTTTAAGGGGGTTGGGAGGAAAAAAGGGGGGCTTGAAAAATTTTGACAATGGAATGGGCGGTGTCAAATTTTTGAATACTTCAGATAAGGGGCATCGAAATATTTTGGCGACCCACACCCAGCTCGTCCCCATACTATAAAAAATATTAAATTTTCGCACGAAAGACATCAATTTTTTTTCGCATCGCTCCGCTAAACCAAATATTAAGAATCAAATCTTCTTCTTCCAGGAATGTATTTCGATCTAAAGTTAATTTACCAACTTCTTTAATAAAGGATATATATGACAACGTGCTGAAATTAAATGAAGGTGTGGTAAATGTCAATGAGACCATAACAGGCATATTCTTTTAGCCCCTTCTGACGGTGTGACAATATATTTAAAAACTTGCTCGCTATATATGCCTGTGTCTGTAGAGTGTTTTAGATTTCAATGCATATAATTTATGTATGACTGGTAAATTAAAAGGCAGGGATTTCGTTACCACAAATTGATTAAAACTTTTACCAAATTCTTTGAAAGATATAAAGATTTTAGTTAGAAAACAAAGAGATATCCCATCCTAATTTTTACGGTGATGCTGTTTATAAAGCCCGTAAATTTAGACACATTCCAGGTAAACTAATTGATCCTTTGAATAAACTTATTCTTAAAGGTTATCAATTTAACACAATCAAATTGAGAATGGAAATGGGGAATGTGTCAAAGAGACAACAACCCGACCGAAGAGCAGAAAACAGCCGAAGGCCACCAATGGATCTTCAACACAGCGAGAAAATCCCGCACCCGGAGGCGGGCTTCAGCTGGCCCCTAAACAAAAATATGTACTAGTTCAGTGAAAATGGACGTCATACTAAACTCCAAAACATATAAATGAACTAAAATTAAAAAACATACAAGACTAACAAAGGCCAGAGGCTCCTGACTTGGGACAGGCGCAACAAAAAAGTAGTTTATTTATTGTTAAATCTTTAAATATTGTTTTATAGGACTACTAACATAGTTTTTGTTTTTGAAAAATTAAAACAACTGGCTATACTTTGCTATATATTAAACTATAGTTATGATAACTTATGATTCTACATCCTGTAGATACTGTTTACTTATATTTTGACATTTCACAAGGTCATACATTTCTCAGACTGTTTATGCCGTCATTACACTAAATCTGTGTACTGGTTGATACTTCAGTACTTTCATGGGAAAACATGATTTAGTTGTAATTGACTCTGCATTTCCTTTCAGTAAAGCTGCGAGTACTCTTTTTTTTCGGTGCTTTGCGTCTATTGTTTTTGTGCCTCTTATCGATCTTTTGAGTTGCAAATTGCAAATTTTTACAGTTTGTTTTTATGTTATTCTGTAATATTGCTGTCCCAGGTTAAAGAAGGGTTGAGCGCTCACAAACATGTTTAACCCTGTCACATTCTGTATGCACCTGTCCCAAGTCAGGAGCCTGCTGTAGAGGGTGGTAAAGAGTAAAGGGTTATTTTCGTGCAACGTGATCGCCGTTTTTTATTTCACGTTCAACGTGTTTTTACTTTTTTATTTGACGTTCAGTCGTGCAAGACAGGTGCCTCGTTCAACGTGTTCTGCTCATTTAATTTTACGTGCATCGTGATTTTCAAATGCTTATTTTGCGTGCTCGGTATTTTTCAAATAAAATTCAAACACTTGGAAGGGATCGTCATGAAAAAAATGGGTTCAATTTTGTTTTTTGATAAAGCGGAAAGGCCTTTGGTGTTGTTCCTTATCGATTTTGGAGCTTCCAAGATATATGTACTGGTTTGGCCTAACACATTGTTCATTAAGTATTAAGTAACTACATCACACTGACATTTTATTGTCTAAACAAATTTGTAACGGGCCATACATATTTATTTTTGTCGTATTCTTTCGATTTGATTCAGTTTGCGATAAGTTCAAAATCGTTGTACCATATGCTACTATAGTCCTCTGGTATGAATATGTTGATGGATTGCTGTATTGCCATATATGTCTCTAGTTCATGATTGTAATGTTAGAATACATAAAAAAAATACAAGGACTAATGAGACCTGCATGGTATGAATTTCTAGGGAAAGCTGTAGGATTAGGGATATATTACAATCAACTTGTGTTTCTGTTCGTCAATCCAACAAATATTTCCGTTAGATTTTTTTAAAGAAACAACTTTACATAATGACTTCATATTAAGTTCAAATCTGATGTTTTTAACTTGTGAACACTTTTCGGATCTCCTAGATACATGCTTCCTCATCACCGATTCTTTGAATTTTTTGGTAAAGAATGACTTTAAATAGGATCGACATCTTAACAATGATGAGCTTTAACGTGTTTGCACTTTCCATCATCTGTCAGTTCAAACTTCCTATTTCTGATACTTATAACCACGAGTCGTGGTTGCTGGTGGCATTGATAACATGAAAACGTGTTTATTCTTGTTAATAAAGACAATGAAATAGATCAAGAATACACTTTCGTGTCTGCGGGATATTTGCCTTTTAAAAGTTAAGAAGATCGTTATATACTTTTTTAAAAGCCTTAAATCATTTATATTAGAAATGTGTATGCTAAATCGGGAATATCAAGTAAAACAGAGTGTTTATATATACAAGAAGACAGTGACTCAGTCACAAAAGGTTCTCATCAAAGTCTTTATTTTTCGTGCAACGTTCATGACAGAAATTATTTCACGTTCAACGTGAAATTATGTCTTATTTCACGTTTTGTCCGTGCAAGCACCCCCCTTTACCACCCTCGTTGTACAGTGGTTGTCTTTGATTCAGGTCTGTCATACATGTATTACTATTTGTTTTTTTGTAGATAGTTTTGTTATAAATTAGGCCATTAGTTTTCTCGTTTGAATTGTTCAACATTTGTCATGTCGGCTCTTTTATAGCCGACTCTACAGTATGAGTTTTCTCATTGTTGATGGTCGTACGGTGGGCTATGATTGCTTACTACTACTTCATCTTAACTATGTTGATGGTCGTACGGTGGGCTATAATTGCTTACTACCACTTCATCTTAACTATGTTGATGGTCGTACGGTGGGCTATGATTGCTTACTACCACTTCATTTTAACTCTGTTGGATATCTGTCTCATTGGCAATCATACCACATCTTTTTATTCAAGTTTATACATATCCAAATAAGGTTCCCTGAAGTCACAAACAACTTCCCACACTTTAAGCTCTAGTTCCACAACTGATGCAATGTTTTATTGAACTATATGATAATATAAAAAGAAATTATATGCATGTATTTTTGTTATAAAGCGGAATAAAAGTATTGAGAAATGTTAAGGGGTGTTAAATTTCCATGTCTTTGGAAGGGGACTTGAATTATTTTCCTTCCTCAAGGTGGGGACTTAAAAAAATAAGAGAAATTTCTATGTTTCCTCTCACCCCCCCCCCCCCATGAAAGAAAATTACCAGTCCCTAATAGGGAAAAATGTCAAAAATTGGGTATAGTTTGGTCTCCAAAAAAAGTTCCATATTTTAAACAGTAAAATGTACACAGCTATGGCAAGACAACGATCAAAATAAAAATGGTTCAGTCTCACTTTGTAGTAAAAGGAAACTGAGAAATAACAGAAATCAGTAATGAATAATCGGGTACGAGTTTGCAAAGGTACGAGTTTGCAAAAGTTCGCGTTTTATTCAAATTTCCGGCATGACATGCGCACAGTAAAGGAAGTACCACATGGAAATTGTAAACAAATCGTGAACAAATTGAAAAAAGCGAAAGAATGGAAAAAATACCAGAAAAGGTAATATTGGTGGGGTTTACCCAAATGATAAAAACACTTAACTTCCGAGGATTCAAATAGGAAGATTTGTCTCTATGGAGATTTTTTTATGGGGAACATATAACATATTGACTCTTATAATTTGTCATAATAAATTTGTAGTTTTTGTACGAATCGGTTTTCTGCAAATTTTATCGATATTGTCTGAGGGTTCGTGGTCAAGTGATTCAGACCGATGGTTGCAGTACTGAAGGTACCGGGTTCGATTCTCACTCGGGGCGCCGGAAAATTATTTCCGTTCATGATTTTCACCCTCACACACACACACATCTCTGCCTTTGGTACCCAGATCGGAGTTTAAACAAGATGGTACTTTGGGATCAGATTGGATCCATTAGAAGTTTCAATTTGGGAAACTATACTATCAGACCAATCTATTTGATGTCTGAGGGTTTTAGCTGTTCCCCTAATGGATTGGTAGTTTCTTTCTGAGATCCTTTATCATACATGTAGGAATTTTGGCTTTCCTCTACCAGGAAAACAGCTGGGCATTTAGCGGTATCGGTTTGGAATCCAAGTATGTCCTCACCGGTTTCCTATTTGTTGCCTTGGCATTTGTGCGGCATCTGGGGTGACCTTATCCTTTATTTTGTATAATATTGTGTTTATACTTTTTTTTTTTTTTTATTTTTGAGGATGAGCGAATTAGGTGAGTGGGTGTGTTCGTATGTTTTATTGCATTGTACTTATTGTTTTTGGGGAAGGTTAACTTTCTGGTAGTAAGATCCGTCACGGCCAGACTGGGAAACTGGGTAGGCAAATGCTCACATTAAAACTGTACCGATACAGTGTGTTAAATGTCCTCCTTTACACCATAACCTATGGTGGTGCTCCTACTAAAGGAGGAGGATACAGAACATAATACTTTGGGCCCTCAGTAAATCAAAGTTGCCCCTGACTTTGACCTGGTTATCAATCTGCTGATATCTCTTTGGTTTGTCTGTTCCTGCAGAGGAGCCTGGTGGTGTCCTAGCACTCTCTTTGTGTTGGGGTGGGGATTGTCCTTGCAAATATTGTTGGGCGACAAAATCAAAAAATCGTTCTGAACACAGAATCTAAAATGGGAGAAGGTGAAGGTACAGTAAACACACATGCTTTTTTTTGCCACATCAAAGTTTGATGGTAAAAAATATTGTTAAATATATAGACACATTCTGGACGAAAAACAATTAGCACACTGTAAACCTCAACTTATTATACGCCATGAAAAATATATACTGTAGTAGAATGAATGATCTGATTTTAATCAGATTTGTTATTTGGACTGACCTTGTATTGTTTTACTTTTTAAATGTGAAATATAATGGATAAGGCCAAATAGAAATAAAGATATATATGTGGTTCCAGTTACATCCTGAAATAAAATAGGGTTGGTACATGATGTATGACTAATGTCTGCAATATTTTTTTTTTTATTATTGTCAAAATCCGTATAAAAATTGTGTGTTTACCGAGTCCGATTCTGGTCTTATACACATCCCTACCAGAAGTTCACAATTTTCCATGTTTGGTTGCAAAAAATAAACAGATATGTTACATTTTTAGTTAATTTTGTTGCATTTTTAGCCGTAGTGGATACCTCTAATGGAAATTCAGATGACAGAAGTCTGTGAATCTAACTACATATTGAAATTCACATTCTACAAAATGGGATTGTTCAATATTTATTTTTCAGAAATGGAAAAAAAGTTCTAGGGTCGTGGGGTTTAAACTAGGGTTGGTAGGGTAACCCACACCTTTTCTTATTTGGCCTAAGTACAATGTAGGAAAATGTTGTATTGATGCATGAAAAAAAATTTCAGAAGTGCCTTCTCAGTACATATAGTTTAAATTCAAACATGAACCATACATGTAGCTTATTGTTCATTGCCTACGGATAAAACATGAATGAAAAAAGTACTGTCCAACTGAATAACATATTATTTTTAGAATTTTGATCTTTAGGCCACACCAAATTAATTTTCGAGATTTTTTTACTCCTACTATTGGAAAAGAATAGTGGGCAAATAATATATATTTTTTCTTCAAAAATTAGAATTGTCAGAGGAGAAAGAATGTTTTTCTATCTAGCAACAATTTTTCTTGAATCATTTTAAAGCAAAATGAATGGAATAAATTATATTCATGATATTGGTACAAAATATTTAAGACCATTTTTGTATTTTTATTAATTTAACCATTATATATATAACAACTTTTTTTTAATAAAAGTAATTGTTAAAGAATGTATTGTGATGGAATTATTGATAAGAAATCAAGCTGTCAGATTTTTTTATTTAACTGTAGGACAGAGAGTCACATGACAAAAAGTCAAAATTCAGTTTTGAGATAATTTTGTCCTCATAGACTAATAACTTCAGTGATTGACTTGATGCTACCAAAAAGTATATCCTTTGGATGATTAATATTTTATACATATAAATCTTCATTTCAACATGCCTTTGAATAATTTCATAAACTCACTGTGCATGTACATGTACCAATAAATTAATCATATAAAAAAGCATTATATCAAGGATTTTCCTTTATTTGCTTATACAATGTATGTTCAAACACTTGTTTACTCATAGATTGTAACCTTTGGTCCTAGCAATTAAGTGACTTTCTGTCCTGTGACAATATGACCATTTACACATTAATTGACCAGGTAAGAACTTATTTTTGTAGTAATGTCCTATCAAAATTACAATTGACCAGTATTTCTCATTGTTACCCAAATTTACCACTTGCATGGTCAAAACTAGTAATAATAAGTTCTTTTGCCGATCTTTTTATGTATCTGTGTGTCAATATTTGGAACCATAAATACTTTCATTGAAATTCTTTCTTTGTCTATGGCCTCAATTGATAGAGTAGCTTTCTCCAGGTTGAATACCTTGTCCTCTTCTCCGCCAAACTCTGAGATTTGCATACTTACTGGACCATTTCGTGTGATTTGTAGTTTTTCTACCAGCTTTCTAGAAATATTAAACAAGTTTTGTGCGAGTAGAATGTTAGTCATAAAACTTTCATTATGACACCAAAAGGGTGCTACAGCAGTTTTTGATAGAGTTTCTGCATATGTACATGTACTGTCTCAAAGGCAGAATGTAAAGTGACACCCTTCTGTTTCTGTAGTAAAGTACCTCTCAATTGCCAGGTTTTTGTATGGGTTTATCTTCATTCAAAGTGGAATTTCTATTCTATTAAATATTATGGCAAATGCTGTTTCTTACTACAATATCCTCAACTATATTGTGACTTAAGATATAATTACTGAAACAGTTTAAGCAAACTGGTTTTTCCTTGACAATTTTCAAGCATACATTTGTGCATTCATTTGGGTGATGCAAATTTTTACAAAACAACATGGAATCAAGACCTTTATAAATTAAACAAATCCATGCATGCATTTGGTTTCCTTTAAGTAGTTACGGAAGAAATGACCAGGCTGCATAGGTCAAAAATTAAAACTCACTTGACGTACTTTCAAACGCACAACTAACTTAAAGGGACGTTAGCTGTTAAATTCATGTTCCCTAATTTGACTCTAATTCTTGTATTTGATTCATAACATCCTACAACATATATCCAAATAACAAAAAATTCAAAAGATACAATTTACAATGCATGGACTCGTTATAAATTAATGTATCAGCATTTTGTGTGTATTTGAGATAAGATGTATGTACATGTATATGATACTGTCATTGAATAATATTTCAGAGTCGAAAAGACTTATCATTTCTAAGATTGTTATGACCATTTATTACAGATCAATAAAGAGAAAACAAAAAACAAAAAAACATCACGATACTTTCAACCACAAGAGGAAGTTTATAATATTGATGACAAAAGTTTGAAGAAATTCAAGAGTGGACATTGGAGAAAGAGACAGGATGGGAAGACAAGAAAGAAAAATGATGAAAGGGCAGTGAAGAGGCTTAGAAAAGTAGGTTAAGCTTGCATTTTAAAGAACAATTTAGCTCCACTGTCCCAATGGGACTGTGTCATGTAAGATAAAGCCATCACTTTGTTAGTTCAACATTGCTCTGATATCTAATTCTCTTTTTGGGGACTTTTATACTGATTTTCCAGAAATATGTCTGATTTTAACACTCTGGTGTTATACATGTATGTGTCCTTTGATAATGAAAGCTAGGCTGCCTATACATGTATGGAATAAAGAATCAAGAACAAATATTGGACAATAAATACTGTGCTGTGGCCTGCAAAAAACATGATTTAATATGCGTATTACATTGTAGGTTGAAAATGTGTGTATGGTCACAGACTTAGTTCTACTAAACACAATATCACAATTAACAAAGACATGTCTTAATCTTTGAATGATTGGGATAATATTCATGTTTCTTATTGTCAGTTTGCCAACCACCACCAGTCCATTAAAGGGTGTTTCACAAATAAGGTAAAGTCTTGATGAAATTTTTATCATGAAGTTCAGGGTCACAAATTCAGTTCACAATAGACATTCATATCTAAATGTGTACAAAATCTTATCAAAATCAGAACTACAATGTATAAATGTCTGGAAGGAGATATATTTATCACAGATACTTCAAAGGATATTTGCCAAACACAGAAGATTTCTCCTAAATAATGTAGGGAATTCACATCTACATTTTACTTCAGTAGATTATAGATTAAAAAAAAAAGAATTCAGATAGTTTGGGGTATCATTTTGTGACTTTACTATTACTACCTGTAGTTTATTCAACTAAATCGCAATGATCTACCAGTTGGAACATAAGTTACATGTTTTAGACAAGAAAACAATGTTAGAGCAGGAAAAAATCTTTTTAAAAAAAAATTAGACTTCATGCATATTTGTGTCATAAACTTTTTCTGGTAGGCTGCTTTTTAGGTGTGTAGGTAGGCAACATCAAACAATCAAAATTTTATTTTTGGCCTTATAGAGGTATATCTTGACTAAAATGAACATGTGCTGACACCTTATAGCTCTAACCATACAACAATGGTTTACTCCTTATATCAAGCTCTAAACTGTTGATTTACATTGCTTACCCCTAAATGCATGCTGAAATTCTATGAATGGCACATAGTCTAGACAATCTGTAAATAGATTTACATAAAGACTACTGACAGGGCTAACATTAGGAATACATTACATTGTATAACTTTTCTGACTTGATATCTTTGTATTTTCTCAAGGTTGATAAATTTCAAGGAGATGCTCCTGTTTCAAAAGAAAAAATAAAGAAATACAAAAGAGGAAGTGATATGGAAGCGGTAAATATTTTTATAATTGTAGAGTTCAGTGATATAATCTGTGTTTTTTCAAAAAGCTACAACAAAAGCCATGTTGTGCTGTTATTTTCATTCCTAATGTGTTATCTGGTTATCCAGTACCATATTTAGCACTACTATCAATACATGGTAAGCAACAAGTCAATATATCAAAATCAGAATGGTTGATTATTTATCCTTATTATTCTATCCAGATATGACAAGTTTTTGGGGACTAATTGTTGCACTGAGTTTTTTCGGAGGTAATTGTTGCACTGAGTTTTTGGGGAGTAATTGTTGACCTGAGTTTTCAGGGCTAGTTGTTGAGTGCAATCAATTGAATCTAAACCGTACTGTCACTGAGTTGACATCTATTTTTCAAGCTGCTTTACCTTACCTTACATAAAAATTACATAAGTTGAAAAAATAGTGCTCTACCTAAAATTATGGACAATGCAAAATGAAAGCAAGCTTACTTCTCAGTGCTCACAAGTGCTTTTTTTTTGTCATATTTACTATCATGACTATAAATATAAGAATATTATGAAGATTGTGAAAATTTTGTATGAAAAGAAATTGTGACAGCACAAAGCTTTTCAGACAATATATGGGAAGTCATTCATTTTAAAATTATAAAATCTTCGTTCAATCCTGTAATTTCATTTTTAATGCTAAACTAAGTGTAGGAAGAACTAATCTTAGAATCCATGTGTGCATCCAGTTCAACAGCCATATCTCCAAAACTGCTTTATAACCATCAAATCTTGTTTGTCTGCACATCTAAGTTATTTCTACTGTATGCTGTATGGAGAAATTAATGTGAGTCATATTTCATGGTTAAGTGTAATTGGTTAAGGTTTGCATCCAAGTAAACCTAGGCTGAATTTTTGTACCCAACTTCATATCTGTATATCTTATTCAAAGTGAAAATGTGTTAACTAGTGTATATATATAGTGTATCCTGAACATATGGTTAATATCCAGAAAAAAGAATGTCACTGTTGCTTACATTTTCCACTTTAACATCCCAGTTCACATATCAGTCACTATGATCATTAGATCAGCATCCAGAAAATGTTCTTAAAAGAACTTAACAGTTAACTTATATTGCTTGGTATAATTTTTGTATTGCAGACTCATGCCAGGACTTATTTTCACAAGACAGTGTTTGAACAGAAAGAAAAAAAATTAGAACTTGCTGCCAAACAAGCTGCCAGATCAGAACTTCTTCTGCAGGAAACCTCAGGGTAGATATTACCGGTAGTACTGTATATAAATTGGATGAAAATAGAAAGTATATATATATTGAATATGACATGCAGGAAACCTCCAGCTAGAGGTGTATGATACAGTTATGCATAAGATATAGTATGGAAAAAAAGAAAGCTACAGAATATAGTATATAACATGAAGGAAACAATTTGATATAAATACATTGTATTTATTATACCTCAGTATTTGTTTTCTGATAAACAAAGGTTGAAATAATTCCAAAATCCTCTCAGAGTATCTGCCAGTCAATAGTGTCAAGAATTTGTTCTCCTTAGAATAATATTACAATTATATTTCAGACCCTTTTATACTTATTTTTCATTGTATAAAAATGATGCCAATAACTATAGCTATAAGATTTCCTTGGACTTTTTGGTATAATGAAATGCTATAATCAGTAAATCAATATACCATTTTTAGCCTGAAAATTGTATGTGTGTTAGTTATTATTTAAGTCTGAATTCAAACATAACTCTTCAGAAGTAATGTTTATGACACTTTAATTAACATGTTTAAATAGCAAATATTATCAGCAAGACAAGATCAACATATTAATTTTTGGGGTTCATTTTCTTCTCCGTCCCAATACCATACATATCGTTGCTTGTCATGGCAACACCTATCTAATGCACCTTAGGGTTTTTCTCCAGGGGTAAGACCACCATCTCCCTCATATAAAAAACTGATAAATGTCTCATAAACTGGTCAATTATCCAACCCTACAGCATATTTTATTTATTTCAATAACCATACCTTTCAAGTGCACCCCTTCTTTATACCATAAATAGTTAATACATTGTATCTCAAATCTATAAAGATTCCCATCTTTAAGTCATATATATTCTATGTAACCATGTTTAGATCTCTCTTTGGAACCTAAGATTTTAGCATTTCCTTAAGTAGAGTTACTCCTATTAAATATGAAGAGAGATATGTTCTAATTCACTAAACAATTACCTCCTTATTTGTGATATGCTGGAAATATCTTGGTAAAAATATCTTCAAATATTGTGATGTATTATTGCTTAAAACAACTTATCTCTTTGGGAAGTGGAATGCAATCATATATAATCATAATGTACTATGAAATATATTGTGCCAGTATGTTAGTAAAAGTTTATTTGGAAATGAAATTGTGGATTGCAAAAATAATTATATTTGTTGTAAAAAAAATTTGATGAAAATATAGATTAATAGCATGTCATTTTCTATATTGTCTATGCATTTGGGCAGGCATTGGGATGAACAAAGGGATGTTATGTGAGATGATTTAGATATTAAATGTCTTATGATAATGTTTAAAAAAATCTTAATATGAAAAATTGTATTACAGATTTATTGATGCAGAATCAGATGAAGAAACAACTTACATCTCTCAACATGATATTGTTAAAGCTGTTGATATAAATAGTGCTTCCAAGGTAAGATGTTAAAGCTGTTGATATAAATAATGCTTCCAATGTAAGATGTTAAAGCTGTTGATATGAATAGTGCTTCCAAGATAAGATGTTAAAGCTGTTGATATAAATAGTGCTTCCAAGATAAGATGTTAAAGCTGTTGATAATAAATAGTGCTTCCAAGATAAGATGTTAAAGTTGTTGATGTAAATAGTGCTTCCAAGGTAAGATGTTAAAGCTGTTGATATAAATAGAACTTAAAAGGTAAGATGTCAAAGCTGTTGATATAAATAGTGCTTCCAAGATAAGATGTTAAAGCTGTTTATATAAATAGTGCTTCCAAGGTAAGATGTTAAAGTTGTTGATATAAATAGTGCTCCCAAAGAAGGATGTTAAAGCTGTTGATATAAATAATGCTTCCAAGATAAGATGTTAAAGCTGTTGATATGAATAGTGCTTCAGAGACAAGATGTTAAAGCTGTTGATATAAATAGTACTTCCAAGGTAAAATGTTAAAGTTGTTGATATAAATAGTGCTTCCAAGGAAAGATGTTAAAGCTGTTGATATAAATAGTACTTCCAAGGTAAGATGTTATATATAGCTGTTGATATAAATAGTACTTCCAAGGTAAGATGTTATATATAGCTGTTGATATAAATAGTGCTTCCAAGGTAAGATGTTGTATATAGCTGTTGATATAAATAATGCTTCAAGGTAAGATGTTAAAGCTGTTGATATAAATAGTGCTTCCAAGGTAAGATGTTAAAACTGTTGATATAAATAATACTTCCAAGGTAAGATGTTAAAGTTGTTGATATAATTAGTGCTCCCAAAGAAGGATGTTAAAGCTGTTGAAATAAATAGTACTTCCAAGGTAAGATTGGTCTTCTTGAAATCCTGAGATATGGGGAAATGTATATGGAGGTAAATATTCATGGTGACTAGGTTAGTCATTTTTGGTATGGCATGTATGGTGTACAACAGGGCTTCCAAAACGGTCATATAATCCGGACTTGACCGAAACTTTCATAAAAAGTCCGGCTGCTCTCAGCCTCAAACGGTCAAATAGAATTGGTTTGCCACTTTTTGTTATTCAAGGCATTTTCATAAAACGGTCATTTCAATTTTTACCAACTATCGATCGATAAAAATGTCCGTTTGCGGCTTTGGGCATGTCCGTTTGAGCATTTTAGTTTATAATTGTGGCAATCTATTTCACAAAGATATTTCGGTCATAATTGGGTTTAATAAAACAGATGCAGCATATTTTAGATACTTTGAAGTGTCTCAGTTAGTCTAATCCTCTGGGTACATAAATGTACCGCTTGGTCTTTAGCTTGTGTACATCAATAAAAAGTAGAAAAAACACGTTTTCTTTTATTTAAATAACAACAAGCTGTCAAACAATTATCCCTTCAATAAGTTATATTGAAGCCATAAATCATTCACTGATTACAGGTTTGTAACCTTTGATGAGGTGTCCTTAGCCTGTCTTTATCAATAGAATTAATGATGCATAACACTGTAGTACATAAAGGTGATCAGGTAAACGAGGTCAAACATGTAAGCGTGTATGGAACAACATCCTATTTAATTACGCTTTATAGATATTATTTTAAATGAGCATTCAGTTTAAAAAAGTATCCTGATATTTAAAAGTTATTCTTTAAATAAGGATATTTATAAATGAATAAGTATGATATATATTATTTTATTTAACACTGTACATCGTGCTAAATACTGGGGTACTCTAAAGGGGAAAATTTATTGAAATATATAGGAAAAACACCGAGAATAGCTGAGTTGTCCAATAAATAAGGGGGGCGTTCTCTATTCTTGTTTTCATATTAAAAACTGTTTTTATAATTGAAATCATAAAGAAGAATATCCAATCATGACAATCTCCGACTGTTATAAAGACTTTGTCTCAAATTGAACTTTACAAATCTGCCATCATGGGCAAACGTAAACGTGACGATTCCGATCAAAATTCGAAATCTGCTTAAAATGCTAGAAGCTTTATTCATAAATGGTTACAACTGTTTTTATGGTTAAGATTTGACAGTATGCTAAATGCCATGTTTTGTGACATTTGTCAAAAACATAAACTTAAAAATAACTTTTTCGAAAGTCAGCCGTTGTAGAGCATGCTAATAGCAATGACCACATTCAAGCTCTTAAATTAGAGACAGCTCCCAAAAGTAATCCAATTGTATCAGTATTTGAGAAAGTTCATGAAAAGACTGACAACGCAATGTGAACCTTGTTCCGTAATGCTTACTTTATTGCTAAAGAAAACTTACCAATGGACAAATTTCAGTCAATAAATGATTTAACTAAGTTAAATGGTGCCGTGATCACTTCTAAATTACATCAAGAGAACAATGCCTGCTCCGAATTTACTCAGACAATTTCCGATATTATAGAGAAAGAGGTGATGTCCGACGTAAAGTTAAGTCCCGCCGTGGGAATTATGATCGACGAGTCAACTGATCTGGCTACGCAAAAAAATTTAATTTTGTACTTATCATACCTCAAAGCTGGTGAACTGAAAATTAGTTTAAATTATTTATCAACTGAGTATGTTTTTATTTATTCTTCTTATTTTCTAAATCAGGTTGGGAAATTGTACAAAGAAAAATGTTATTACTGTTCAGTAGATTTTACACGGTTTAAAACAATATCCTTCATTTGGCCTCCTCAATGTTATCTATAAATACCGCATCAGTTGTAAAAGTCACGTAGTCAGGTAATCAATACACAAAAAGAAAAGTATCACGTGTATTGATGATCAAGTTGTACTGCAATTAAAGCCAACATCAACAGTTTCAAATAAGATACCCTTAATTTACAAAGTGTTAAGTACTCACAGAGAGAAGATATATTATATAAACAGAAACAAAAAAATGAGAACAGTCAGGTACTGAAGCTGATTGATGCAATGATGGTTACTGTATTACGATACACAGAAAAATGACACAATACCAAGGATAATTTTTTATTTATTTTTAGAATGAAGAAAACAAAACAGTTATAAATAATTTTATTGCATATAACACTACTAATTATTTAGACACATATATCAATTTATGCATCCTCTCAGTTACATTTAAGTATCCAGCTGATCATTGACCGTCAAAATATTTCTTTGAAAAATGTCCTGCTGTCGTCAGGAAATTTTGGAAGCCCTGGTGTACAAATCCAAATCAAATGCTACACATTGTTATAAAAAGAAATAAGATGTTTGTTATAAAAAATCTTTAAAAAATATATGCAGTACTCATGGCTATTTGGCCCGAGAACACAGTTATTTCGTAGTGCATTTCTTTTAGACAATAAATTCAAATTAAAAAAATCGCACCTGCTCTATCTCAAAAAGATTTTTACAGTGTAGTGTACTACTATTGATACAAATAATATCAAAATTATAGAAACTTCTACCAGCTCTAACTCAAAATATTGACAATTCTGTGTTAAGGAGGGCTAAAATTCAGTTTGACAGCTTCCGACATTCTAATTTTTGACCTTTTTTAACTGGACCCAATCACTACTTAACATAAAGATTCAGCACCCAATTTTTTTTAACATGTAATTTCATCCCCTTACTTAATATTTCATGCATAAAATATCAAGAAATAAATTGGGAAAGTGTATAAAAAAAATGCAAGTTATACACCGTTCACACTAGGGACTATATTCATAGACAACGAAAACCAAAGGACGATAACTGTGTCCTTGGACCTAATAGGATAGAAAGACTTGACCAATTTTAATAAAACTTTTCATGACCTAAGCTTAGGCAATTTTAAGATAGTTGGCCAAGTTTCATGGCCATAGGATATATATTATAGAAACTAGGGCCATTTTAATATTGAAATTTGGATGTTTATTTTTGACTTTTAAATCAAATATTTTCAACTGTCAAGATTTTGGCCTAAAAAATTTAAATATTGCAAAAATTTGCTTTTTTAATACTCTTGAATTTAATTTAATAAGTATTAAAAGCAACGGAACACTCATTTGATTTATCAGATTTATTACAGTTATTCAAAAGTCAAATTTATATGAGCCTGTGCCTGAAAATAGAGATTTTCGAATTAAGGGAAGCCTTACATAAACATGCATTTTTTTCAACCAATTTGAAGTTTTTGAAGGTTTTTTACCATACATTATTCGTCCATATATATTAAATGTACTTTAAATGTAAAGAAAAGTTACAAAAAGCATACCGCATGAGTATAAAATGGTCTTAGGCGATGTAAGACTGAGAATTATTTAGAGTCGATTTAGGCCGTAGCCCATATTTACATATAAAAATGCACACAGAGGCTATAAGGAATTGAAATTTGTTACTTTTTGCTCATTTCTATGCTAAGATGTCATGATACAAGAAGTCTAATTGCAAAAGGACTCTTGAATTCAACTTTTTTTTGCAGACAGTATGGTCTGATGACAGTTTTTCACTTTTCAATGGAAAACTTGCATGTAGTTTTAGTCTCATTTGGCATATATTTGAACCACTTACCGGTACTATCCTAAAGAAGAAAATTATGGTAGCATATGAAATGAATAGGGTGTACTGATCATTGTAAAGTGTTTTCTTTACAGATTTAGTGAAATATTTGTGACGGACTACAGATTTTATATACAAAGCTCTTCACATTTCACATACATCAAACAGGCCGTTTATCCAGGGACATAAATACAAATATTCTGCACATTTTTTCTGTGATAATCTACTTTTCTCTAGATTCCGAGTTCACAGATGGTTAATTAAGTCTCCCAAACGAAGTTTGGGAAGACTTATTGTTTTTGCTCAGTTCTTAATATTATTATTCTTCTTCTTCTTCTTCTTCTTCTTCCTCTTCTGCCGCTTTTAAATTTGAACTTGTCCGCACCCGTTCTCCAAAACCGCTTGTCAGATTAACTTAGGGTTTCACAATATGTTAGACTAACATGTCTAGTGGTGCAATCAGGGTTTTGTTTTTGCAATGGGGTTTATAAAGGGGTACTTTGAAGGGCAAAAAGAAAGGAGGGTTTTACACAGAACCCTATGGGATTTTATTTTTTAAAATTTTCAAATGATTATTAATTGAAAACCGTTTGTGATAGACACAATCTTTTTAATTAAAAATGTTCTAAATAATAAAGCACATTACATGAAATACAGGGTAAGTCCCCAGGGGTAACCCCCACCCCCTCCCATTTAAGAAAGTTCTAATATCTTGTAAATGGTCGAGATCCCCACCCCTAAACCATATATATTCTGGTTTGTCATGATAAAGCACATCAAATAAAATACAGGGTTAGTCCCCAGGGGTCACCCCCACCCCCTCCCATTTAAGAAAGTTCTAATATCTTGTAAGTGGTCGAGATCCCCACCCCTAAACCATATATATTCTGGTTTGTCATGCTAAGATGGTTTGAATGATATACAGGGTTAGTCTCCAGGGGTCAACCCCTACCCCTGCTATTTCAGAAAGTTCTAATATCTTGTAAATTATCGAGATCCCCACCCCTAAACCATGTATATTCTGGTTTGTCATGATAAAGCACATCAAATGAAATACAGGGTTAGTCCCCAGGGGTCACCCCCACCCCCTCCCATTTAAGAAAGTTCTAATATCTTGTAAGTGGTTGAGATCCCCATCCCTAAACCATATATATTCTGGTTTGTCATGCTAAGATGGTTTGAATGATATACAGGGTTAGTCTCCAGGGGTCAACCCCTACCCCTGCTATTTCAGAAAGTTCTAATATCTTGTAAATTATCGAGATCCCCACCCCTAAACCATGTATATTCTGGTTTGTCATGATAAAGCACATCAAATGAAATACAGGGTTAGTCCCCAGGGGTCACCCCCACCCCCTCCCATTTAAGAAAGTTCTAATATCTTGTAAGTGGTTGAGATCCCCATCCCTAAACCATATATATTCTGGTTTGTCATGCTAAGATGGTTTGAATGATATACAGGGTTAGTCCCCAGGGGTCACCCCCTACCCCTGCTATTTAAGAAAGTTCTAATATCTTGTAAATGGTAGAGATCCCCACCCCTAAACCATGTATATTCTGGTTTGTCATGATAAAGCACATCAAATGAAATGCAGGGTTAGTCCCCAGGGGTCACCCCTACCCCCTCCCATTTAAGAAAGTTCTAATATCTTGTAAATGGTCGAGATCCCCACCCCTAAACCATATATATTCCTGTTTGTCATGTCTCAAACATTTGAATGACGTATAGGGTCAGTCCCCAGGGGTTCCCCCACCCCCAATGTCCTAGTATCTTGTAAATGGTCGAGATCCCCACCCCTAAACCATATATATTCTGGTTTGTCATGCCAAGATGATTTGAATGATATACAGGGTTAGTCCCTAGGCATCACTAATGCATATAACTTTACTGGACTAAACCAATTTTCACTGGACTTTGTCCAATGTCAGGCGACCCTGGGAATTACGAATTATGGGAGCTTTGTTTGGGAGACTTCGTATCAGCATCCTGTTACAATCATTTTTTGTTAAATTTGATTTAAGCATAGAAACACAAATATCAGGAACATAAAAAGCTGTCAGATAGAAAGTCAGCATGGCTCTTAGGCATAAAATGGAAACTGCTTTAAAATGCTTATTTTAGCCGTATAATGCCAAAATGGGACATTTTAACAGAATTTCTGTCATACAAAGATGTAAATCCTTTACTTTTATAGAGTTTGACAAATTGAAACCAGAAAACCATTCAGGGAAGTTGCCAAAGTACAGAATCTACATTTACGGAATTCATCTCTTAGGCCCGAGAACACAGTTATTTCGTAGTGCATTTCTTTTAGACAATAAATTCAAATTAAAAAAATCGCACCTGCTCTATCTCAAAAAGATTTTTACAGTGTAGTGTACTACTATTGATACAAATAATATCAAAATTATAGAAACTTCTACCAGCTCTAACTCAAAATATTGACAATTCTGTGTTAAGGGGGGCTAAAATTCAGTTTGACAGCTTCCGACATTCTAATTTTTGACCTTTTTTAACTGGACCCAATCACTACTTAACATAAAGATTCAGCACCCACATTTTTTTAACATGTAATTTCATCCCCTTACTTAATATTTCATGCATAAAATATCAAGAAATAAATTGGGAAAGTGTATAAAAAAAAATGCAAGTTATACACTGTTCACACTAGGGACTATATTCGTAGACAACGAAAACCAAAGGACGATAACTGTGTCCTTGGACCATTTGTATTCTTTCTTAAGTAAACTAATATCTTTGTACTACCAGTACTAGTAATACTACTATAACCTAAAACTTTTATTTGCTTATGTTCTGTTCTAAATACTTAAATACTTAATAATTACAATGACAACAAATGTTATGACTGAAAACTTTTATTTTGCAGTATTTTGAACTCACCTTAACTGATTTTGGACCCTATAAAATCCATTATACAAGAAATGGACGTTTCCTGCTCATGGGAGGAGCCAAAGGTCATGTGGCAGCTATTGATTGGCAGACAAAAAAACTTCTCTGTGAAATGAATGTTATGGAAACTGTTCAAGATATAAAGTAAGGATCTAAATTCAGGTATTTTTATACGACCGCAAAAAAATTTTGCGGTCGTATATTGGTATGACGTTGGCGTCGTCGTCGTCCGAAGACACATTTGTTTTCGCACTCTAACTTTAGTTTAAGTGAATGGATCTCTTTGAAATTTTACCATAAGGTTCAATACCACAAAAGGAAGGTGGGGATTGATTTTAGGGGTTATGGTACCAACAGTTAAGGAATTAGGGGCCAAAAAGGGGCCAAAAATAAGCATTTTCTAGTTTCCAGCCAATAACTGTGGAACAGTGTATGGATCTCTCTGAAATTATACTACAAGTTTCCATACCACAAAGGGATGGTTAGGATTTGCTTTGGGGGGTTATGGTTCAAACCGTTTAGGAATTAGGGGCAAAAAAGGGGGAAAAACAAGGTTGTCCTGGTTAATGGACAAATACTTTAGTACAAAACATAATTTAAAGCAGTGTAAGGGAGATAAATCAAATACATCATTGAAATATTCTTCCTTACACTGCTTTTAAATTATGTATAAAGTAATGGTTAATGAACAATTAAGATAATTTAAAACAGTGTAAGGGAGGTAATCCAAATACAACGTTTTGGTTACTTCCCTTACACTGCTTTTAAATTATGTTTAAAGAAATGCATATTTATAAAGGAAGACCAGTAAAAATATCTGCAAATGTTGCATCTTTTTTTTTTACAAAAAAATCCATATGAAAGATTTGACAATATATTTTAAATTCTATTATAAAATCGATTAAGATAGCACTATGGTAAATTTAAATGTGTAATTATGGTTGCAAACTCCATTGGAAATTTGATTGAGATTATGACCATATCTTGAGGGAAAGAATTTTTTGGGGGAAAAAAGGGGGAGGGGGGGGGTAAAAAGAAATTGTGAAGAAATAATCTTTAATTGCACAGTATGGCGCATTAGATTTGTAAATCTTTGACCACATTTATTTATTTGTTATGCCGAATCTAACCTTGTATTTAGATTTTTAATTTTGGGTCCTGTTTTCAAATTGGTCTACATTAAGGTCCAAAGGGTCCAAAATTAAACTTTGTTTGATTTTAACAAAAATTGAATATATGGGGTTCTTTGATATGCTGAATCTAAACATGTTTTTAGATTTTTGGCCCAGTTTTCAAGTTGGTCCAAATTGGAGTCCAAAATTAAACTTTGTTTGATTTCAACAAAAATTGAATATATGGGGTTCTTTGATATGCTGAATCTAACCATGTATTTAGATTTTTTATTTGTGGACCCCGCTATGAAATTGGTTCATATTGAGGTCAAAAGGGTCCAAAATTTAACTTTGTTTGATTTCATTAAAAATTGAATTATTGGGGTTCTTTGATATGCCAAATCTAACCGTGTATTTAGATTTTTAATTTTGGGTCCCGTTTTTTAAATTTGTCTACATTAAGGTCCAAAGAGTCCAAAATTAAACTTAGTTTGATTTTAACAAAAATTGAATTCTTGGGGTTCTTTGATATGCTGAATCTAAACATGTGTTTAGATTTTTGATTATGGGCCCAGTTTTCAAGTTGGTCCAAGTTGGGGTCCAAAATTAAACTTTGTTTGATTTCAACAAAAATTGAATATATGGGGTTCTTTGATATGCTGAATCTAAACATGTTTTTAGATTTTTGGCCCAGTTTTCAAGTTGGTCCAAATTGGGGTCCAAAATTAAACTTTGTTTGATTTCAACAAAAATTAAATATATGGAGTTCTTTGATATGCTGAATCTAAACATGTATATAGATTTTAGATTTTTGGCCCAGTTTTCAAGTTGGTCCAAATTGGGGTCCAAAATTAAACTTTGTTTGATTTCAACAAAAATTGAATATATGGGGTTCTTTGATATGCAGAATCTAACTGTGTATTTAGATTTTTGTCGAGCCTTCGACTTTAGTCGAAAAAGCGAGACATAGCGATCCTACATTCCGTCGGCGTCGTCGTCGGCGGCGTCCACAAATATTCACTCTGTGGTTAAAGTTTTTGAAATTTTAATAACTTTCTTAAACTATCCTGGATTTCTACCAAACTTGGACAGAAGCTTGTTTATGATCATAAGATAGTATGCAGAAGTAAATTTTGTAAAAATAAAATTCCATTTTTTCCGTATTTTACTTATAAATGGACTTAGTTTTTCTGCCGGGAAATATTACATTCACTCTGTGGTTAAAGTTTTTAAAATTTTAATAACTTTCTTAAACTATCCTGGGTTTCTACCAAACTTGGATAGAAGCTTGTTTATGACCATAAGATAGTATCCAGAAGTAAATTTTGTAAAAAAAAAAATTCATTTTTTCCTTATTTTACTTTTAAATGGACTTAGATTTTCTGCCAGGAAACAACACATTCACTCTGTGGTTAAAGTTTTTAAAATTTTAATAACTTTCTTATACTATTTTGGATTTGTACCAAACTTGGACAGAAGCTTGTTTATGATCAAAAGCTAGAATCTAGAAGTAAATTTTGTAAAAATAAAATTCCATTTTTTCCGTATTTTACTTTTATATGGACTTAGATTTTCTGCCAGGAAACAACACATTCACTCTGTGGTTAAAGTTTTTTAAATTTTAATAACTTTCTTATACTATTTTGGATTTGTACCAAACTTGGACAGAAGCTTGTTCATGATCTAATGCTAGTATCTAGAAGGAAATTTTGTTTTCTTCCAGTTAACATTACATTCAGTCTGCAGTTTAAGTTTTTAAACATTTATTAGATTCATAAACTATCCTGGATTTTTACCAAACTTGGACAGAAGCTTCTTACATTCAAAAGATAGTATCAAGAGGAATATTTTTATTGATTTACTTCCTCATTTTTGTTGAGCCTGCGATTAACAGAAAAAGTAGGCGAGACACTGGGTTCCGCGGAACCCTTACGAATTTTTAATTTTGGGTCCAGTTTTCAAAGTGGTCTACATTAAGGTCCAAAGGGTCCAAAATTAAACTTTGTTTGATTTTAACAAAAATTGAATATATGGGGTTCTTTGATATGCTGAATTAATCATGTATTTAGATTATAGATTTTTGGCCCAGTTTTCAAGTTGGTCCAAATTGGGGTCCAAAATTAAACTTTGTTTGATTTCAACAAAAATTGAATATATGGGGTTCTATGATATGCTGAATCTAACCATGTATTTAGATTTTTTATTTGTGGGCCCGCTATCAAATTGGTTCATATTGAGGTCAAAAGGGTCCAAAATTAAACTTTGTTTGATTTCATCAAAAATTGAATTATTTGGGTTCTTTGATATGCCAAATCTAACCGTGTATTTAGATTTTTAATTTTGGGTCCCGTTTTTTAAATTGGTCTACATTAAGGTCCAAAGGGTCCAAATTAAACTTAGTTTGATTTTAACAAAAATTGAATTCTTGGGGTTCTTTGATATGCTGAATCTAAACATGTGTTTAGATTTTTGATTATGGGCCCAGTTTTCAAGTTGGTCCAAGTTGGGTTCCAAAATTAAACTTTTTTTGATTTCAACAAAAATTGAATAAATAGGGTTCTTTGATATGCTGAATCTAACCATGTATTTAGATTTTTTATTTGTGGGACCCGCTATCAAATTGGTTCATATTGAGGTCAAAAGGGTCCAAAATTAAACTTTGTTTGATTTTAACAAAAATTGAATTCTTGGGGTTCTTTGATATGCTGAATCTAAACGTGTTTAGATTTTTGATTATGGGCCCAGTTTTCAAGTTTGTCCAAGTTGGGGTCCAAAATTAAACTTTGTTTGATTTCAACAAAAATTGAATATATGGGGTTCTTTGATATGCTGAATCTAAACATGTATTTAGATTTTAGATTTTTGGCCCAGTTTTCAAGTTGGTCCAAATTGGGGTCCAAAATTAAACTTTGTTTGATTTCAACAAAAATTAAATATATGAGGTTCTTTGATATGCTGAATCTAAACATGTATATAGATTTTAGATTTTTGGCCCAGTTTTCAAGTTGGTCCAAATTGGGATCCAAAATTAAACTTTGTTTGATTTCAACAAAAATTGAATATATGGGGTTCTTTGATATGCAGAATCTAACCGTGTATTTAGATTTTTAATTTTGGGTCCAGTTTTCAAAGTGCTGTACATTAAGGTCCAAAGGGTCCAAAATTAAACTTTGTTTGATTTTAACAAAAATTGAATATATGGGGTTCTTTGATATGCTGAATCTAAACATGTTTTTAGATTTTTGGCCCAGTTTTCAAGTTGGTCCAAATTGGAGTCCAAAATTAAACTTTGTTTGATTTCAACAAAAATTGAATATATGGGGTTCTTTGATATGCTGAATCTAACCATGTATTTAGATTTTTTATTTGTGGACCCCGCTATCAAATTGGTTCATATTGAGGTCAAAAGGGTCCAAAATTTAACTTTGTTTGATTTCATTAAAAATTGAATTATTGGGGTTCTTTGATATGCCAAATCTAACCGTGTATTTAGATTTTTAATTTTGGGTCCCGTTTTTTAAAATTGGCTACATTAAGGTCCAAAGAGTCCAAAATTAAACTTAGTTTGATTTTAACAAAAATTGAATTCTTGGGGTTCTTTGATATGCTGAATCTAAACATGTGTTTAGATTTTTGATTATGGGCCCAGTTTTCAAGTTGGTCCAAGTTGGGGTCCAAAATTAAACTTTGTTTGATTTCAACAAAAATTGAATATATGGGGTTCTTTGATATGCTGAATCTAAACATGTTTTTAGATTTTTGGCCCAGTTTTCAAGTTGGTCCAAATTGGGGTCCAAAATTAAACTTTGTTTGATTTCAACAAAAATTAAATATATGGAGTTCTTTGATATGCTGAATCTAAACATGTATATAGATTTTAGATTTTTGGCCCAGTTTTCAAGTTGGTCCAAATTGGGGTCCAAAATTAAACTTTGTTTGATTTCAACAAAAATTGAATATATGGGGTTCTTTGATATGCAGAATCTAACTGTGTATTTAGATTTTTAATTTTGGGTCCAGTTTTCAAAGTGGTCTACATTAAGGTCCAAAGGGTCCAAAATTAAACTTTGTTTGATTTTAACAAAAATTGAATATATGGGGTTCTTTGATATGCTGAATTAATCATGTATTTAGATTATAGATTTTTGGCCCAGTTTTCAAGTTGGTCCAAATTGGGGTCCAAAATTAAACTTTGTTTGATTTCAACAAAAATTGAATATATGGGGTTCTATGATATGCTGAATCTAACCATGTATTTAGATTTTTTATTTGTGGGCCCGCTATCAAATTGGTTCATATTGCGGTCAAAAGGGTCCAAAATTAAACTTTGTTTGATTTCATCAAAAATTGAATTATTTGGGTTCTTTGATATGCCAAATCTAACCGTGTATTTAGATTTTTAATTTTGGGTCCCGTTTTTTAAATTGGTCTACATTAAGGTCCAAAGGGTCCAAATTAAACTTAGTTTGATTTTAACAAAAATTGAATTCTTGGGGTTCTTTGATATGCTGAATCTAAACATGTGTTTAGATTTTTGATTATGGGCCCAGTTTTCAAGTTGGTCCAAGTTGGGTTCCAAAATTAAACTTTTTTTGATTTCAACAAAAATTGAATAAATAGGGTTCTTTGATATGCTGAATCTAACCATGTATTTAGATTTTTTATTTGTGGGCCCCGCTATCAAATTGGTTCATATTGAGGTCAAAAGGGTCCAAAATTAAACTTTGTTTGATTTTAACAAAAATTGAATTCTTGGGGTTCTTTGATATGCTGAATCTAAATGTGTTTAGATTTTTGATTATGGGCCCAGTTTTCAAGTTTGTCCAAGTTGGGGTCCAAAATTAAACTTTGTTTGATTTCAACAAAAATTGAATATATGGGGTTCTTTGATATGCTGAATCTAAACATGTATTTAGATTTTAGATTTTTGGCCCAGTTTTCAAGTTGGTCCAAATTGGGGTCCAAAATTAAACTTTGTTTGATTTCAACAAAAATTAAATATATGAGGTTCTTTGATATGCTGAATCTAAACATGTATATAGATTTTAGATTTTTGGCCCAGTTTTCAAGTTGGTCCAAATTGGGATCCAAAATTAAACTTTGTTTGATTTCAACAAAAATTGAATATATGGGGTTCTTTGATATGCAGAATCTAACCGTGTATTTAGATTTTTAATTTTGGGTCCAGTTTTCAAAGTGCTGTACATTAAGGTCCAAAGGGTCCAAAATTAAACTTTGTTTGATTTTAACAAAAATTGAATACATGGGGTTCTTTGATATGCTGAATTAATCATGTATTTAGATTATAGATTTTTGGCCCAGTTTTCAAGTTGGTCCAAATTGGGGTCCAAAATTAAACTTTGTTTGATTTCAACAAAAATTGAATATATGGGGTTCTATGATACGCTAAATCTAACCATGTATTTTGATTTTGGACATTGGACCATAATAGGTAAATTAAAAAAATTCAAGTTCTTAGACCACATTCTTTCTTTGTCAGAAACCTATGCTGTGTCAAATATTCAATCACAATCCAAATTCAGAGCTGTATCAAGCTTGAATGTTGTGTCCATACTTGCCCCAACTGTTCAGGGTTCGACCTCTGCGGTGGTATCAAGCTGCGCCCAGCGAAGCATTTTATTGTACGAAGAAATGCATGTTCTTAAGGATAAGTCTAATATACAATTAAAAAGGAGTCCCATTTCTCAAGATTTCCTAGAAATTGACATGTAAATGAAAGATAGATATATGCTATTTAAAGATTAGACATTTTTGTTTTGATTTATTCAAAATATGTTGAATCGGAATTTCAGTATTACATATGTAAAACAAAACTTGCCTCATAACATCTCCTTTAACTAATTTCTATGTTTTGATGATATCAATTAATTTTCTTTGTTCTAAGAACTATTCTTTCTAGAGGAACCATTTGGGGTGTTATACTAGTAGTTCTTTTGGCTTCTGAATGAAAACATAAACAAGGAAAGGTTATTACAAGTATATCTTTCATTTTAGAAGATCATCATCTCACGCCAATTTGACCATTATTTGACATTATTCAGCAGTTAATTTTTTTTTATGTAAACAGAGAAGTTACAAGTCAACTGTTAAATATGAAATATATATAATATATTATTTAGTAAGTTTTTTTAAACTGTATGGTATATATTCACAGTTTCTAAGTAAATATTCTTTGATAATGTATAAGTGAAATAATTACATGTATTTTCCTAGAAGGTTACATCAGGAAAGGGTTGGTATATATTCATGGCTTTTAAGTAAAGTTTCCTAATGTATAACTGAAATAATTACATATATTTTACTAGATGGTTACATCAGGAAACCATGTTTGCTGTGGCACAGAAACAGTGGACATATATATATGACAATCAAGGAATAGAACTGCACTGTCTGAAGGCTTTAGATTGTGTTTTAAATCTGGAATTTCTTCCTTACCATTTCCTTCTCGCATCATCCGTAAGTATGCAGATTGTTGCAGCGTTTGAAGTCTGGAATTGAAGAATTTACCCTGCCCTTTGTTTAAAGAAAATGTAAAGAGAACATGGCACTCTCAATACACAAGGCATCATATTTAACATTCCCTTTCCAATCTATTGATTTTGTGAATTTTAACATGCTACATAGCCAAAGGGCAGCTTTTTTTTTTATCATAATATGTTGACTTCAAACATTCATACTATTTTATGCCATAACAATGAGAAGAAGTATGTTCTTGATACTTTAAACAGTATAATAAAATTGAGAATGGAAATGGGGAATGTGTCAAAGAGATAACAACCCGACCATAGAGCAGACAACAGCCGAAGGCCACCAATGGGTCTTCAATGCAGCGAGAAACTCCCGCACCCGGAGGCGTCCTTCAGCTGGCCCCTAAACAAATATGTATACTTGTTCAGTGATAATGGACGTCATACTAAACTCCAAATTATACACAGGAAACTAAAATTAAAAATTCGTAAGGGTTCCACGGAACCCAGTGTCTCGCCTACTTTTGCTGTTAATCGCAGGCTCAACAAAAATGAGGAAAAAATTAATAAAAATATTCCTCTCTATACTATCTTTTGATTGTAAGTAGCTTCTGTCCAAGTTTGGTAAAAATCAAGGATAGTTTATGAATCTAATAAATGTTTTAAAAACTTAACTGCAGACTGTATGTAATGTTAACTGGAAGAAAAACTAAGTCCATTTATAAGTAAAATATGGAACAAAATGGAACAAAATTTTAACAAAATTTCCTTCTAGATACTAGCTTTTAATCATAAACAAGCTTCTGTCCAAGTTTGGTACAAATCCAGGATAGTTTAAGAAAGTTGTTAAAATTTTAAAAACTTTAACCACAGAGTGAATGTAATGTTAACTGGCAGAAAAACTAAGTCCATTTATAAGTAAAATACGGAAAAAATGGATTTTTTGTTTTTACAAAATTTACTTCTGGATACTATCTTATGATTATAAACAAGCTTCTTTCCAAGTCTGGTAGAAATCCAGGATAGTTTAAGAAAGTTATTAAAATTTCAAAAACTTTAACCACAGAGTGAATGTAATGTTTCTTGGCAGAAAAACTAAGTCAATTTATAAGTAAAATACGGAAAAAATGGAATTTTTTTTTTACAAAATTTACTTTTGAATATTATCTTATGATCATAAACAAGCTTCTTTCCAAGTTTGATAGAAATCCAGGATAGTTTAAGAAAGTTATTAAAATTTCAAAAACTTTAACCACAGAGTGAATGTAATGTTTCTTGGCAGAAAAACTAAGTCAATTTATAAGTAAAATACGGAAAAAATGGAATTTTTTTTTTACAAAATTTACTTTTGAATATTATCTTATGATCATAAACAAGCTTCTTTCCAAGTTTGATAGAAATCCAGGATAGTTTAAGAAAGTTATTAAAATTTCAAAAACTTTAACCACAGAGTGAATATTTGTGGACGCCGCCGACACCGACGCCGACGGAATGTAGGATCGCTATGTCTCGCTTTTTCGACAAAAGTCGAAGGCTCGACAAAAATGATACAAGACTACCAAAGGCCAGAGGCTCCTGACTTGGGACAGGCGCAAAAATAAGGCGGGTTAAACATGTTTTTTGAGATCTCAACCCTCCCCCTATACCTCTAGCCAATGTAGAAAAAAGAAAAGAAACGCACAACAGTACGCACAGTAAAACTCAGTATAAGAGAAGTCCGAGTCCGATGTCAGAATAGGAAACAAAAGAAAATAAACAAAATGACAATAATACATAAATAACAAGACTACTAGCAGTTTCTGACATACCAGCTCCAGACCTCAATTAAACTGATTGAAAGATTATGGCTTCATCATATGAATATCAGGCACAATCCCTCCTGTTAGGGGTTTAGTATTATACTGTCATAAAATATATGAGAAGAACATAACCTGTGTCATGCCAACAACTGGTTTTAGAATAAATGTGTTTAATTCCAATGCAAAGACCCTATAAGTGAATCAATATTAAAGCCAAAATATGCAATCTTTAATGACCTGACAACAGTATCGTAACTATATCCCTTCTTAATAAGTCTGTTAAAAGGTTTTGTTAGCTTTTGAGGTGAATACTGACATTTTTGAGCTTTGTAAAGAATATTACCATAAATGGATGTGAAATACCCAAACGTATAAGATGTCTGCATGTTGAGTTATATTTACGAATGATGTCCTTATACCGATGATAAAATTTAGTAAATGTTTTGACTAGTTTATGATATCGAAAACCCTGGTGTAATAATTTTTCAGTAATATATAAATTTCTCTCGCTAAAATCTAATACGTTTTTACATACACGAGCGAATCGTACAAGTTGAGATATATAAACACCATAAGATGGTGACAAGGGAACGTCACCATCTAAAAATGGATAATTAACCATAGGAAATGAAAAATCATCTCTTTTATCATAAATTTTTGTATTAAGCTTCCAGTTAATGATATAGATATCAAGATTGAGGAAAGGACAGTGGTCATACTGAAGTCGTCATTATTGAGAGCCAATATATCATCCAAATATCTAAAAGTATTGTTAAATTTTTGTATCAGATGTTGTTTCGATGGGTCTTTGCTGATTTTAGTCATAAATTGTAACTCATAACAATACAAAAACAGGTCCGCAATAAGTGGTGCACAGTTAGTCCCCATTGGAATTCCGATAACTTGATGATATACGGAATCTCCAAAGTGAACAAAAATGTTATCAAGTAAAAATTCAAGGGCAGATATAGTATCAAAGCATGTCCAATTGACATAGTTCTTTTGTTTGTTGCTACTAAAAAATGACCTAAAAGAGTTTGAACATATGTATTCGCATTCCGACTTTTTAAATGCCCATTTAATTAGGTGTGTGAATTTTTTCTTAATAAGAATATGAGGCAAAGTGGTATATAAAACTATAAAAGATCAGTGATCAATACAAGTATAAACTTTACATATATTTAGGATTATATCTCTTTTATCACCATGGCAAATGCAATGTTTTTCTTCTTTCAGAACAGTAAAGGTTATTTGTCATGGTTAGATGTCTCAATAGGACAGAAGGTAGCAGGACACAGCACAGGAATGGGACGTCTAGATATTATGTGTCAGAATCCTTACAATGCAACCATTTGTCTTGGACATAGTGGAGGTAAGACAATTGTTAAAGAACATATGTCAAATCTGTGCAGTGTGTGTCTCTGAAATTGGGAATGTCAGTACAGTAGATTGATGTCTAGATATCATGTCTCAGAGTCCTAAAATTAAAGTGATTTGTCAGAAAGGGACATCTTGATTTCATGTTTCATAATCCATTCAGTGATTGGTCTCTAATTTGGATTATCTTTAAATCGTGTCACCATACATACAGTGATTTGTCTTGGACACAAGATATGTGTTTATTATATCTTTTCATCCATACATGCAGTGATTGTTAATGGACATGATGAGATCAGTAAAAATATTGGCCAGTACAGAAATTGTACAGAATTAATTGGCTGTATATCATCATGCAGTGATTTGTGTCAGGCATAGTTGTAAAGATATTTAGATAAGATGTATTAAAATAGTTCTTATGCAATGTTTTTTGGACTTGTTTTGTTTAGTACCTTAGAAATTGCTTTTCAGAGATATTTCTCTTGTTTTTTTTCTGATTATTAGTCCTCTACCGACGAAATCAGAAGGGACTTTAGGTTTGCAATTCGTCTGTCCGTCTGTCTGTCTGTCTATCCATCTGTCAGTCCAGCAAATCAGTTTTCCAGACTCTTTTTCTTCGTGCTTGAAGATATTGATTTGATATTTGGTTTATTCATTTATCATGACAAGTTACAGGTCAAGTTCAATTTTCACGATTTTTAGCTTTTCTCTTTGTTCAGTTACAGCCCTTTCCCTAGAATTTTTGATGAAATACATATTAATTAGTAGATTTCTGTTCAAAGGGAAATAACTCATTTTTTAAAAGACAAAATGACATTTTGGATTTTTTTCCTTTTTTTTTGGTAAATTGTTTGAAGAATTTAGTGGTAGGTTTGTTTGTCATTCTTGAAGATATTGATTTGATAATTAGTATATAATTTTATCATGACAAGTTACAGATCAAGTTGGAATTTTGTTCCAGTCTGATAATTTGTGCAGAGTTATGGTCTTTGGACATAGAAAATTCACTTAAATAATCAGTTTTCAACAGTTTTTTTCGTCATGCTTGAAGATTTTGACTTGATATTTTTATGTAGTTTACACCATGACAAGTTATAGATCAAGTTAGAAATTTCGTTCCATTACAATGAATTTGTAACCAGTAGGGGACTATGTATTGCCTTGCAATACTCACAGAATGCTTGTAAAATAAAATTGAATACCAGTAGAAATTTGACATGTCGTTTTCATGTTCCTCTGTATACAAGTAATTGGAGGTAGAATTATGTCTAATTTTTAATTAGGATTGAATTGGCTTTGTAAATGAGTTTGTCTATTTTTTTATACTTTTATTTCAGGAACTGTTACAATGTGGTCTCCAAATGTCAAAGAACCTTTAATTAAGATGTTATGTCATGGTGGGGGTGTACGCTCTGTCACTGTTGATAAGAAGGGCAGGTAACTGTTGAAAGATTATTACATACATAACAGAGTATGACATTATATAACAAAAGAAATATGTTTACTGTTACATTAATGGACATGTCTTTAGTTAAGTACTTTGGAATGCAGCATTTAAAAACAAGGGGAACAATATGAAAAATTGATGTAGCATGTTGCTGATTTATCCATTGTCTCTTCAGTTATCTGACTCATGGAGCCATTTGAGTAATTGTAAGCACACTACTTATATTTACAATATAAGACTTTAAAAAAATCCTGATAACTTCTTGGCCAGGTAACATTTTTAATTGGTCAGCTGACAAGGTCTCATTTGGTTTTCATGATCACACAATTTTTTGAACTTAATGTGTCAATTCTTCAGGAATTGAAGGCGAAAAATCAAAAGTATGTGTATGTCGATTTTTTTAAAAGATATGTCTCTCTGAATGTTCATATACCTTGATGTCCTTGTCATGCTCCAGTGGATATGTTAAAAAAATTTATTAGATCTATTTTCTTCAACTTTACATGGTGATTCTCAAAACATGTTTTGCTGCAATTGAAATGTTTTAGTGGGTCAACTCTAAATTTGTATTAAAAATTTAGTTGGAATCAGAAATAGTTTATGCATAAATTCAGACAGTGAACATTTAATTTACTAGGACAGTATTATTTTACCTTTTTGGTTACATAGTGCTAATAAATGAAGTTTGATGGTAAACAACATATATATCTAGTATGCTATGTACTGTTGTAGATATATGTGTACATCAGGAATAGATAGAACAATGAAAATATGGGACCTACGTACATACAAGATGTTGCAGTCATATAAAATAGGAATGGGGGCATCACATCTAGCCTTCAGTCAAAAAAATTCACTGGCTGTATCTAAAGGAAATATTGTAGAGGTATCAGTAAAATTTTAGATATTTTGTTATTTTGATAATTATGATAACAATTGGTATTAACTTTTCATTGAGAGGTTGAATCTGTAAAATGGTGTCAAAGATCTTCCTTTCTAAAACATAAACCACCTTAGAATTTCCTGGTATAATTGAAGGGCTGTTCCAAAATGAATCATGGTAGGGCATGTGGATGGTTTCATGTTTTCCTTAAATTTTGTATGAATTATAAATGAAATGAAAATTTCATATTCTGGGTGGTTTGCATCTGATAAAAGTGCCTCAAATGTCCGCTGCAATTAATTATATTATGGAACAGCCCTTACAAATTCTCTTTTGTTTTAGATATAATACAAATAATTATATTGTCTGTATTAATGCATAGTAGCCATATAATGTATATATATAAAGATTTGAATGATCAGCAACACCTTTAATCTATATTGAACGTGGTCTGAAGATGACAAGGGAAGTAATCAGAAGTAGACAAAATTAGGTGGGGAAATTGGGGGGGGGGGGGGGATTGAAATTGTAACCTAAAGAAGAACAAAAGGGCATTCACAAACCACATTTCAAATGACAGCTAAGGGTGAAATGAGAAACCATAAGTTTAAGGACAAAGGGATTTTGTAAATAAAAAAAATCAAAAAAACTGTAACCCAATTGAAATTAGGGCACAATCAGAAATAATTATAGCTCAAAAGGTGAACAGTGGCCTTGGTCAAAGATAGAATCACCAGTCAGCACTACCTAACACAAAATACAGGGGTCAACTAGGATGATTTATCAGGATAAGCAATTCCTGCTTGTAAAGCTATACATGAAGAAATCCTTAAGTCATGGACAGGAAGAGGGATGGAAAAAGCTTAAAAGATTCATATGTGAAACATTCTATAATAACTATATAATAATGGCAATTAATATATTATTCTATATTTTATTCAGATTTACAAGGATTGTTGTCAGGAAACAGTTACCTCTCCTTTCTTGACACAGAGGCTGCCTTCCTCTGTGTTTGGTCTACAGTTTTGTCCATTTGAAGATGTATTGGGTGTTGGCCACAGCAATGGATTTTCTAGTCTTATTATACCAGGTAAAGACTATTCACATATAAAACATGAATTGAGAAACCAAATTACTTAAAATTTTAATACATAATGCTTGGTTTTTTTTCTTCAGTTTTCTGAATAATTTTCAAAACCTCATGGGAGACTGTAGTTTTCCTTAGTTTAACATATCAAATACCAGTGTCCCTACCTTTCATATGGAATTTCTTATTTCAAACCATATGTATTGTGACAGGGTCGTTTCTATCTTTGGCCTAGTTTCTGACTATGTTGTGCTAATATCTTTTGGGAGACTTGTGTAGACTGGGGTAATTGAGAGCTATAGATATGATATAGTTATTTGTCTATTGTTAAAGACCGTATGACTATCTCTAGAAAGTTTGTATTGTTTGAATTTTGTCTCATTGTTGTTTATACCCATATCTCAATTTATTCATACCTATTTAGGTAAATATTCAGATTTTGTTAAATATCTCTAATAACAGAACATGCTTTATTCAATGGTCCTTCATAGAAATCTTTTGAATATTTGTCTGAAATGTTACTATTTATTAAAAGGTTCTGGAGAGCCAAACTTTGATGCTATGGAATCCAATCCTTACCAGACAAAGAAACAAAGAAGACAAGCTGAAGTCAAAATGTTACTAGATAAGGTAAATAAAATGTTGTTGGAGGTGAAAGATGAAAAACTTCCAGGATGCAAAAGTGAGGCCACCCAAATAAATTGTCATTAGACACAGTAATTAAGGTGAATAAAATGTCAATGTTTAGAGCAAACATAAGTTACCAGATATCAGTGAATAGCATAAAATATTACCAGATGAAACTTCGTTAGACAAGCGACATAAAATGCCAGTAGATGGTAATCACTGTGATAAAGTAAGTAAAATGTTAATTGATAACATATATTAAATTTTTCAAAACACATGCAAGTACAATAAATAAGGGTTGGTTAAGTTGACAAAATGACAGTAAAATTAGTTAAATGTATTAGAAAAGGTAATTAACATCATTGTATTAGATTAATATATGCCACTAGAAAAAGTTATGTTGAATCCATCTTTGATAAAGAACATATATTTTGTATTTATTTTTTTTCAGTAAGAATTTTTATTGTTTTTTTTATAGGTACCATATGAGATGATTCATTTAGATACGGGTAAGATAGGCCAGGTTGACCAGAAAACATTGGAAGATAAGATTGAAGAGTCAAATAAAATTCTTGTAAGTAGACCTTTTGTTTATAGATATACATGTAAAAGAAGGTTACAAAGACCTACCAGGGTATACTATATGCTTCATTTACTTTTGTCTGATTTCAGATTTTAAATTATTAGGTAACACATTATCATATAACTTGGTCTAAGGATGCATCTTTTGGAGTCCCCAATGAAAAGTAGATCACACACTTTTATCCCTATAAAACCAATTATTACAGGAGAACACACTATGCCACATTTATTTCTCAATATGCAACTGAATATATGGACACTATATGTTATATAAGTTACAAATCTGCATCATATGTTCTGCAAAGAGCGTTGATCAAGGGTAAAGTTAAACATCAAGAAATAGTCTTAGATAACTAATAAATCTAAAATACTGGGATTCTTATTATTCATAGGATAATAATTTACATGGACTTCATAAGTTTTGGTGCACCATGAGTTCAAATGATCAATGAAAAACAAATTCCTTTAGGATTGTATGCAAATTTGTAAAAAAATACAAAATTAAGTATTCATGAAACTTTTTTTCCAGAATCCACAAAAATTGGTACAATTAAAAAAATGAATCCACAATAAAAATAAATGAAAATAAAAATTTGTCACCGTGACTCCATTATATACATGAAAAGTGATGTTAAGTTTTATATACAGCCTATTTGGTACATTGACAAGTGAATATGAATATCAATACTTCATCAGGAAAAACATCATACTTGAAATTATATTTTGTTATCTTATCACATAAATAGAACTTGAAAGTAGATTGTTGTCAAATATGACTTTATATACGGTAACAAATATCAACGAACAAAGTAAAAACTGTTTTATCCCTTACAGTTCCTAAAGCCAAAGAAAATAGAATATGAACCCTCATATAAAATGAAAGGAAGAAGTAAAGGATTGAAGAAAGAACAGAGAAAGAAAGGAGTAATAGAAGAGCATAAACGGGAGGAAATTAAAGAAATAATGGACTTAAAACAGAAAGAAAAGGAAAAGAATAAAAACTCTGTATTATCTCGAAATGTTTTAGACAGATTTAAAAAGAAAGAATGATATTATATTTTTGTTTTTATTACTCCACTTTTCTATCCTTAATCAAATGCCTTCTGACATAGTCGGCTAGAATAGCCCAGCTAGCTGTAATAATTAGTTTCAAATGGCTTGACTCAACAGACTAGCATGAAGCACACAAAAAGACAAAAAACACAAAGCACTGATCTAAGAGTACTCAAAGTTACTAGTGGAAGCGTATTTCAAAGTCTATTTCAATTAAAAGACTAACCATGTTTTCTTAAACTCAAATATAAATCAGTTCAAATCAAACAAATTAAATGTAAAGATGTCATAAACATTCTGAGAAATGCATGACTTTATGCAATGCCAAATATAAGTGAGTACAGGATGTAACTATAGCAATACATAATTGGTTAGGTTTTAATTATGTGCAATATAAAACGGAATCAATTTTAGTACAGATAGAGACAAAACTGTAAATCAGATTTTTTTTATTGTTTTTATAATTTAATGAGATGGGTCCAAAACAGAAACTTGCATTTTATATTATGATAGCATTATTCATAGGCAGCATTTCCTAGATTATATATATTATTGAAACATAAAATGTCACTAGACATGGTCATGCCAAATGAGTAGGGAAATACACGCACAGTAAGAAGGGAAAAAGGAACCCTGTCGAAAAAAGGAAAATTAACAATAGGAAAAAAAAAATCTCTCTTTTGTTGTTGATTTTTGTAGTGATTCCTATGTGAAACTAAAATATATCCAAATCTAGAAAAGGACAATAATTGCTTTATTTAAAGCTTGGGTAAATTTCCTCAGTATAATTGTGGAATTCTGGATTATTTTGAAATCAAATACTGTAAATTCAGAAATTATTGCGAGGTTTTTAGTAATGCAAATAATGCAACTGGTTATGTAGTGCAATTATAAGAACTCGCATTTTGATATCTGATATATATATATATATGTATACAATTTTCTGAAATTGCAATAATTAATCTCACATTTTTTTCCATTTGTGAAAAATCGCAATAATAAATGCACGCAATCATTTCTGACTTAACAGTATATAAAGGTTTCCCTGTGCTTGATATGTATGCTCTTCTGTATTTTTTAAGTTATGGTGTATTTATTCTTGAGATAACTTCTCTTATGTGTGCCACATTATTCTCTCAATTTTAGACCAGTTTGTGTACTAAAATTTTAATAAGACGCACACCACCTATTCTTGGCCCTCATTCCTATTCACGTTAAATTTTTCACCTCCAAACATATTATGGGTGCAGGATAAATATACCGTTATTTATACATCAGACCGTACTGGTTATGCTCCAAGTATACCCAGATAAATCCTTTTATATTCCCACATAAATCCCTTAACATATGTCACTTAAATATAAACCATATTTTACCAAAATTTGCTGAAATACAATACTTAATTTTGGAATCCAAATCAAACACACATATTTTATGTTTGAGTAAACATTTTTTTCAAAATGTGGTACAATTTACATAGAAAAGACAGAATTGATAAATCTGGGGGTGAGCTTTTAATTTATACTTCAAAACAAATAAATACGCTTAGACAGGATGATTTGGAAATGCAAGAAATTGAGTCAATGTGGATAGAACTTATTAATGTTCATCAAAAGCCTATTTTACTAGATTATGTACATAGACCACCTAACAGTCATGCTGACTGGGTTACTAAGTTTGAAACCATGTTGTTAAAAGTTGACACTGAAGATAAGGAAACTATTATTATGGGAGATTTTAATACTGATTTAATGTCAAGTAAAAAACATCCTAGGTGGTCACCACTCAAAAATATTTTCAACATGAGTCAGATGGTTTCAGAACCTACAAGAGTAACAAAAACTTCAACCACTTTAATTGACCATGTTTATTGTAATGTGCCAGAAAATATTAATTATATTGCAGTTCCAAAATATTCAATCAGTGATCACTATCCAGTATGTGGGTTAAAAAAGAAAAAGCAAATTCATGATTATATAACTTATAGATCTACAAAATATTTCAACGAGACTGATTTTATTCACCAATTATCTCGGTATCCCCTTGACAGATTGCTAGAAATTGATGATCCTGATGAAGCGCTACTCAGTTTTATAAATATTTTTACTGAAGTGTTGAATCATCATGCTCCACTCATTAAAAAGCGAGTTAAACATGTTTATCAAAATGAGTGGATAAATGATGAAATTAAGGAGGGTATGAAACAAAGTGATTATTATCATAAGAAAAAAGATACGTATAATTATAAATTCTGGAGAAACAAGGTTAAATACCTCATAGAAAATTCAAAGCAAAAATTTTTAATAAAATGCTCCGCTGGGCGCAGCTCTTGATACGACCGCAGAGGTCGAACCCTGAACAGTTGGGGCAAGTATGGACACAACATTCAAGCTTGATACAGCACTGAATTTGGATTGTGATTAAATATTTGACACAGCATAGGTTTCTGACACAGAATGAATGTGGTCTAAGAACTCAAAAATTTTTTAATTTACCTTTTCAAACCATATTATTATTTGCTTTTATATATAAATCGGAAATAACCAATTTAAAATGGAAAATTTTAAATAAAAAAAAAATCCCTCCCCCAAACTTTTTGAACCCCTTATGATTCATCACCCCCAAACTCAATCCCAGCCTTCCCTTTGTGGTATGGTACCTTGCAGTACAATTTCAGAGAGATCCATACACTTGAACACAAGTTATTGTCTGGAAACTAGAAAAATGCTTGTTTTTATGCCTCTTTTTGGCCCCAAATTCCTAAACGTTTAGGGCAATTACCCCCAAACTCAAACCCAGCTTTCCCTTTGTGATATGGAACCTTGTAGTACAATTTCATAAAGATACATACACTTACACACAAGTTATTGTCCTGAAACTAGAAAAATGCTTGTTTTTTTGCCCCTTTTTGGCCCCTAATTTCTAAAATTTTGAGGCTATTACCCCCAAAATCAATCCCAGCCTTTTCTTTGTGGTATGTTACCTTGCAGTACAATTTCAGAGAGATCCATAAACTTGAACACAAGTTATTGTCTGGAAACTTGAAAAATGCTTATTCCTAAACGTTTTGGGCAATTACCCCCAAACTCAACTCCAGCTTTCCCTTTGTGATATGGAACCTTGTAGTACAATTTCAGAAAGATCCATACACTTACACACAAGTTATTATCATGAAACTAGAAAAGTGCTTGTTTTTAGCCCCTTTTTTTGCCCCTAATTTCTTAAATTTTGAGGCAATTACCCCCAAAATCAATCCCAGCATTCCCTTTGTGATATGGAACCTTGTGGTACAATGTCAGAGAGATCCATACACTAACTAAAATTGCAAAAAAGGGCAGCTAGAATTATTTTAAATGAACACGATATTCATAAACCATACATTGAACTATTTAAGGATTCTGGAATTATTCCCGTTACCAAGAGAATACTTTACCACAAGTCATTATTAATGTATAAATCAAAACATGAACTGGCACCAAAATATTTATCAAATCTTATTGTGCCTACAAATAGTAAACAATCGTACAATACTCGACTTTCATCATCAGATAATTTTATTGTCCCTAAATCATAAACAGAATTATACAAATCAATTTTTTCTTTTAGTGGTCCAAAAGTGTGGAATTCACTATCCAGTGAAATTAAAAAATCAAAAACTATATCTGCATTCAAATACTCTTACAAGTCATTATATTTTTGAAAGTGTGAAATTTATAAGTTAAGCCACAGTGTGTACTATAGGTGTTTTTTTTTGTTGTTGTTGTTATATTTGTGTATATATACATCTATTGCTTATATGTGTGTAATAGTAGATTAATTATGTTTTCATTTGATACCTTAATCACTAAAATATTCTACATAGTTTGATATTTACACCTATGTGCAGGAGCTATTTATGCCCCCGCCGAAGCAATGGGGGATTAAGTTTTACCCTTGTACGTCCGTCCATCCGCCTGTCTGTCCGTACCTACGTCTGTACGTCCCGAAGTTGGTTTCCCTTCTCTAACTTTAGATTGCCTCAACCAAATGTTATGAAACTTATATACAATGCTTATTACCACAAAACACAAATCAAGTTTGAGTTTTGGTGGTGTCACTTTAACCGTTCTAGAGTTATGCCCGTTTACAAATGGAAAAATTGCTGAATTTTTCGTTTCTGTTCTCTAACTTAATTCAACCAAATTTTATGAAACTTATACACAATACTTATTACCACAAAACTCAGATCAAGTACAAATATGGGTAGTGTCACTTTTACCGTTCTTCAGTTACGTCCCTTTATAACTTTATATGATATGCAAGCGGGGGCATCATCTGTGTCCCATGGACACATTCCCCATTTTTTAGCTCACCGGGGCCCAAAGGGCCCCATGTGAGCTTATGCCATCACTTGGCGTCCGTCGTCGTCTGTTGTCGTCTTCGTCGTCTGTCGTCGTCTGTCGTCGTAAACTATTTCAAAAATCTTCTCCTCTGAAACTACTGGGCCAAATACCTTTAAACTTTAACTAAATGTTCCTTAGGGTATCTAGTTTATAAATTGTATCCGAAGTTTTGATCCATCGACAAACATGGCCGCCATGGCTAAAAATAGAACATAGGGGTCAAATGCAGTTTTTGGCTTATATCTCAAAAACTAAAGCTTTAAGAGCAAATCTGACATGTGGTAAAATTGTTCAATTGGTCAAGATCTATCAGCTCTAAAATTTTCAGACGAATCGAACAACCCATTGTTGGGTTGCTGCCACCGAATTGGTAGTTTTAATAAAATTTTGCAGTTTTTTTTTTATTATTTTGAATATTATTATAGATATATATAAACTGTAAGCAGCAATAATGTTCAGCAAAGTAAGATCTACAAAAAAGTTAATATGACCATAATTGTCAATTGACCCCTTACGGAGTTATTGCCCTTTAAAGACAATTTTACACAATTTGTTCATCAAGTTTGCTAGCATTTAAAAATCTTCTCCTCTGAAACTACTGGGCCAATTACCTTCAAACT